GTCAGAAAAGAACTTCCCGCGGCGGGGCTGCTGCTGCTCCCACCTCCGATAGGAAAAGCTACAGCGCCGGCCGTAGGCGATCTTGAAGATTCCAAGGTCTGCGTGGAAAATGTCTGCACGTTAAAGTGCTTCTTCAACGCAGATTCCATCACGCTGGCTTTTGCGTCGGCTTTGTGCGATTTCTTATCCTGCTTGCCGAGCTTGTCACCAGAACTGGGACCTCCTGCAGCTTCTGCTCCACCTCCGAGGGGCGCGATAAATGCGGTGGTTTGGTCTTCCCCAAGCCCCATTTGCTCAAACGCATCAGCGAGGTCTTTCGCCGTGTTGTCTAAGCAAAATTGGCAGTTCAGCCCAGCTATTGTGATGTACAAAAGTATCGTTCTATCGCAGCGAACTAGAACTTGCAATCATGCATCACAGATGTCACCCTGCCCTCTATCCTGTCCAGAAACATGACAAACTCCATCTTCAATAGATAAAATTTGTGATGCTATTTCCACTAGTACGATACTCTTGCAATGCATACCGCCACTGCACGTACACTTCTCCCGGTCGGGTTCAGGCAGCACGTGGATTTTCGTGCTCGGCAGCGCGCTTTGCAACATTTGGAGGGCGGCGTCTTCCCCGGGGGAATAGAACTCCTGCTTGCAGATCAGGGTTTGTGGTGCTGGGACAGAACTTTTCATAGACGCAGTTGGTGTTGGTGCGGATTTATTTCCGTCGCTTGTTCCTGTGAAATCAACACTGTTCGCGGGCTGTACAGCACCAGGCTGCGGCGGCGCTTTTGATGTGGTACAGGCCAGGCTGGAAGAAGTTGCAGAGCCTGCTACGGCTACCCCGCCACCGCCGCCCGCAGCAGGTTTATTCATGGCACCAGTAGTCATTTTTTTCGCACCATCAGGTCCTGCTTCAGACTGCCGCTGCTCCGCTGCGGTCTTCGGGCGTGCCAAGACGTGATACAAATCTTGCAGATTGTAGGCCATCAAGGGACTGCCACTTTTCGCCATCGCCGCGGAGCTTGCTTCTTCCGGGTTTCCGAAATCGGTTATGAAAGTGCACAACTCGTCGTCCCCCATCCCTCTCATTTGTCATGCAAAATACAAAATCCACTCTCTGCCATCTGAGAATGTTAGCATCAAAGATTCTGCTGGCAGGAGCCCAAACAACACGGCAAAATCCTTTGAAAATTTGTTATGCAAAAGCTGCACTCTTGCAGGCCCTACTTCTATCGCTTTTTATGCCATACAAATGAAGGGGACGAGGTGAAGTAGTAAAACACTCTCATAGCCGTCGTCACTCGAACATAAGGCAAACCAAACTTCACCATGGACTCTATCTCTCTTAGAGTTTTTTCCTTCCGGAAAATATCTCTTTCGATATAGAATAGATGTGCGTCGGTCTGTGTGTCGCGGATGATGGTCAAAAGGTTGTAGATCTCTTTATGATTGTTCGCGTTCATTCCATATCCTGTGCAAAAGTATCGCATTCGTATAATTGCGATCAAGCTCATGCATGACGTGGCCTAGGTACGCACATACGACTCGGTACGCCAAATCGTATCTGGGGCGTTACAATTTTCGCGCTTTTTTCATTGAGAAAACCCGCCAAAAAGCAGCACCGAGCCCGGTGCGGTTTGTCACGTATGGCAGCACCGAGCCCGCCCAAATATGTCTTTTTGCCCACCTACAAAATTGGTATTGTAGCGGCGCGCCTTCACAATACATTTTGGCGCACCGAGGCGGCGCGCAAAAACGTCCCATCGCACGCCTTTCCCAGGTGGCGCCGGCGCCTTCGCCTCCTGCGTTTTTTACCTTGCCCTCGGACGCGCGCCAGGGTACGGGTTTTGTTTTTCTGCCCACCAAGGCCCGCGCGCGT